CCCTTCTGATTCTATTTAGTTTTGTTGTAAACTATATGTTGATCAGTATCAGAAGGGGTTTTGTGGAGATTGTAGTAATTTCAACAGTTGAGATCATAAGTCAATTTCAGCTAGACCACCATGGAAAACCTGGTAGCACCGAATGGCCGTCCCGTCCTAGTATGGGACTCTTCAGCAGTGCACATCCGCGATCCCGCTCCCCACGAGATTCGAACCCAGGGCTTATCAGTCTCGCGCCAGGCGATTAACCAACTAGACCATTGAGCCGGCATCCTATAGTGTTAATTTCTAACTTCAACCAATCCACGAAATTGCGCTACTGTATACCATTGCCTTCAGTGAGCTGATATCTCACAATAGACCTGGTTGAACTCCACTGGTAACGGCTTCTCACTAGAACTCCAGGAGTATCTCTTGAAGTCAGTCTCTAGTGAGCAGATGATTAATTATCAGAAGGGGTTTATGGAAATTTTAGAAATTACACACTGCTGAGGAGTCCCATACTAGGATGAAACGGCCGTCCAGTGCTTTCAGGTTTTCCATGGTGGTCTAGCTTCAATTGACTCATGATTTCAATCTGTGAAATTTCTAAAATCTCCACAAACCCCTTCTGATAATTTTGATATTTACCAAAAACTTATTTTGAAAAAAAATTACTCACAAAAAATCAATAAAACTCTAATCAATAGTTGTAGATACTAAATTCATATTGTACACTTTAAATCAAACCAAAAGGCTAAATGAAGATCAGACTCTATTGGTATCATTTAAGATTATTATTTTCTCATTCATATTTATGTATTCAATAATAAAATGTAGTTCACTATTTAACATTTTTATTTATGTTTTATTATTTTTAAAAAAAAAGTATTCATATGAGGCCGATTCAAACAAATAGCCATATGTTATTATGACCTGAAACCATTGTTCTTTAAAATAAATTAACAAACTTTAAGCGTTACCTTCTTCAAAAAAAAACAAAATCATTTATTTTCTACTATTTAAAGAAGATATTACTTTAATGATAAATCATTGTAAATAATTTCTTATTTGATCATCTAATCGGAGAGAATCAAGTTTTATTGATTACTGAATATATATATATATATATATATATATATATATATATTATTAAGCTATAATGAAAAGAATGAATTCTGAAATATTAGAAAATGGTGAATTGTTAATAATAAGAAAGTTAAACTGATATTATAAATCCTAAAATTGTAGTGACAGTATGAATTTATTCGTTTTGTACTGATCTATAGCTGTGAAATATGGGCTATGGATGAAAGAGGCATGGTTGATTGAAGAGTACTAGATTTAAATCATATTTTCTGGTTTGTACTTTTTAGCAAGGTTGTGGTCCATGGGGTGATGTTGCTAACCCCATGTCAAACCCTTCTTTGCCTGGCCATGGGACCGGCAGTAACCTCAGAAGAGTTACAGGCCGACTAGACAATATTCCAGCTGAAGTAACTGCAAACATGCCCCACATTTTATTCAGAACAAAATTTGGGAGGAAGAAAGGAGATCTGAGCAAATGTGAAAACTATAGAGGCATAACATTACTATCGTTATCAGGAAAATTTCCCAATAGTTTTCTTCTTGTTCTGGTGGTTGATATGATTATGAAGACTTCTTTATCTGAGAGGAAGCACGGAATAGAATGGACAGCTGTGATGACACTAGACGATTTAGTCTTCGTAGATGACCTAGCCCTTCTATCCCATACACACCAATAAATGCAGGTCAAGACAGCAGCAGTAGGCCACAACATACACAAGATAAAAAGCAGGGTCCTGAAATACAACACATGATAGACAAGCTCTAAGCAGCATCTTCGACAAACAAGGAGGATTTGATACAAATGTAAATGCACAGATTAGCGGAACAACAGCAGCATTTCGACATATAACTGGGAAAATTTTTAACTAACACCAAAGTCATGACTTTAAATATGAATGTCAAGACATTTTTATTGTACGGAGTTGAAACTTAGAGAACTACCACAATCATCACCAAAAATGTACAGATATTTATATACAATTATCTACGCAATATACTCCAGATTCGTTAACCGGATACCATCAGCAACAACTTACTTTAGGAGAGAACAATATGTAGAAGTAGTTTAAAAAAGAGCAAGTTTTCTCGAACATTAATTTGCTATCAATCACTGAAATAATTATGATCCAAACATCCTGGATGGAATTTATGTAACAGATAAACCCTTTGACGGTGAAACATGTTTAACCGAACTTTTTTTATATGGTCATCTAGGCCTTACCACTACATTGGCATCAACCACGAACCTTTGTTTTCATGATGCTATGAAGAACAATTACACTAATCATCAGTTAGTCTTATCCCAAAATACTAAATGGCATCGTCAGTGGAAGGCGTACTGGAAATGAATTTCACTTTTGTTCAAAAACTATTAGGTGAAGTGTTAAATAAATAGATTATCAACACTAATAAAACGTACATTTATTTTGTAGGTTAAAAATATTTAGATTTGATGTAGTAAAAAAATAATAATTCACAAATCGACACCAAGTTTTCAAATAGAAAAATTCAATTGTCATTTATGTGATTAAACTAGACTATACCGAAATATCATTTAACCATTCATCTAAACTCACCCAAAATGTATTGGGTCTAGTTGAATCCTTAATCGTAATGATATGGATTAGTTCCATTTGAATATATTCAAAGACTAATCTGTTGTGAACACGTAAGTTATTGCGTTTATTAACTTAAAATTATTGATAACATATTATTTATTTGCTTTAATAGATAGATATCGGTACAAGGAGGCACCAAATACATATGCGCCACACAGCACTCATTTGATATGTGTGAGGGCTGTGATACTGACCGGGTACCCAAACCGAAGCAGGTAGTTTTCTTAGGAGACCACACCCGGGGCTTTCGACCTGAAGGTCTGATCCACAAGGCAGTGGAGCAACGTAAGGCGATGCAGTCCCATCGTAGCAGGTGACCAACGACTGGTTCATACGCCATTTGTTCCTTCGGGATACTGAAGCCCATGTGCACCAATGGTTTGGAACCAGGGTTTTCCGACTCCCCTAGGTGGACTCTCCATGTCCACCAACCCGGTTATAGCTCCGAGCATTCGTTTTTCGTCCTCTCAATTCCGTAAACAACACCCCTGACACGAGAAGGTAGTGAGTAGAACTCTTGAGACAGTGACTATATAAGCGTGGCCATGTGAGAGCATATATATATATATATTACATATTTTCTAATATTCCAATACTTCAATAAATTACTGATTCGTTTAAAACGGTTGCCACGTTCCAGAAAAACTCTGAATAATTTGATAAACTAAATCTAACTACTTATAATCATATAACTAGTCATAAACATTAGTAAATTTATTACTAATGAGTACAACAGCTAATGATTCCATGTTTTTTTTATGTACCTCGTTTATCCATAAAATAATAAACAATGAAACAGAATTTTAATCAACATTTAGATTTATTCAATCTAATGACAAATACAAAAAACAATTTAGACAAAAATAAGAATCAAAATAGAGAAGAAGAAGAAGAAGAAGAAGAAAAACCAAACAGCACAAATTAAGACATATAAGCAGACAGAAAAAAACTAGATGATGATATGCATCGAAAATTTTTATCTTCTTTTCTTTTTTTTTTTAAAAAAAAAGGAAAAGAAAGTAATCACGAACATGAAGTATTTGTTATGATGAATGAAAAGTTGAAGACACATAAGTGAAGCGTAATAATTTCAACATATTCAATAATATTACACAAAATAAGACAAATATCTATGAAAAATATCAGGAATGCTCTAAATTGTCATGTTATCATCAAATAAGATTGAAATCTATCTATATTGAAATAGAACATAAACATGGAAACCAATGATTTCAATTGAAAAGAGAAATCATATATGAAGATGAAAAACTTTGAATGTAGAGAAATTACTATGTAAGATATGTGTTGCTAAAGAATTCAAGCCAAAACTACTACTATTATTATTATTATTATTATGTGTACATGTTAAAATACTAGAAAAATAATAATCACATTAAAATCTAAGACTAAATTACATTGAATGAAGAAAGAAAAGAAAATCAACAAAACATTGCATCAATTGTATATTTGTAAAACACACACACATATATACACACACAAAGTATAATAATCATTTGAAGCATACAGTAGGATAAAAAGAAGAAATCTGCTAACATTTCATCTGTAAATAGCATAAAAATATTGTTACATTATTGAAGATTAAAACAATTCATTAAGCATCAGTCAGTAACAACGTAGAACTTCGTACTGACGTACATCAGTTCGAGTTGCCATACCACATTAGTATAAGCATAAGCATAGATGAAACTCTGCATAAAATGATGTTTATAAATGATTAGTAGCTATGATCTATTGTGAACGTTTAAAAAACAATCATTAAAAAATAAATAAATAAACTAGGAAACAAAATAAATAAATTTCATAGACAAACTAACAACATGAATATAAACACATACAACAATAAGCGCTCGCGGGAAAGTGAAAAACAAAACAAAACAACAACAACAACAACAATACAATAACAGAACTTTACACAGAAATCAATTTCATGATGACAGTAATAATATGACTAAAAATGCATCAATACATAAACGCGTTAATTCATTAGTCGATATTCCACAATTTTTGTTTTCTTTGAACAATCTATTCAGTGATTATTATTTCATCTTTTCTAATACTTGTTAAAGATGAACAATATTATTCTAGAGGAAAAAAGAAGAACTTTTAAAAAATCAAACAGAAATAAGGGAACATAGTGACAGGATACAAATAGAAAATATAATTGAAGGAACAAATTATATTGTTCTTATAGAAAACAAAATATGAACCACAACAAAATGAGAACAGATCATCTTTTGGAATTTCTCAATTCTATTGAATTTGACCATCGTTATATATATATATATATATATATATATATATATATATATATTGATGGTAGGAGAAGGAGTGGAATGAAGACAATTCAATAATTTATACTGAACTATTTATGATGATGTAATATAATGTTTCTTGCATAATATAAATTGGAATCTCCACATGAAATACTTTTTTGCTCATTCGAAATAACAACAATTTCAAATCATAAAACATTTAATTATTCACAATGGCAGAGATTGTGTGTATGTATTACTTTGAACAAATATGTAAAAGAAACAAATATTTTTGCTTCCAAACACCTATCGATATAAATTTAAGCCTTAAGCACAGACGAAATAACTCATATAGAGTAGGAATTTATTTCGGAAGACATAGTGATGGAAGTCAAGCTAAAAAGTAAATAAATATTAAAAAAACATTAGGACATTTTAAGTACCTTATAGTGTACTAATAAAGTAAAATATCGTCTCAAAAGCATATGATCCTGATATTTATCACTCATTATAAAGAACTGACAATCAAAAATGTACGCAACTTCAATAGTTGATCATCACTAATGTAACACGCTTTAGTGTGTATAGATAAAAAAAATATCTAGAAATATTCAATCTCACATCTTGTTATGTGATGTTTAGTTTTTCCGAGGAACACCTAGCTTGCATATCATACAATCACATACAATTCTCAGAACAACGAGGAAACTCATGTATATTTAAGAGATTTGTTTCAGCTGATCTTTCCTTAGAATTAAAATAAAATTTATATGAATCCACTTGGTATTGTTTTTTTGAATCTTCCTATTGATGTTTAGGACTGCAATTGATCAGTCTGTTATTGGCATATGTGCATACTGTGTGTATTACCTCGATATAGCCTTGATTCACAAGTATTATTGCACAAGCAAGTGGCTATCAGGACTCAGTAGCTAAGTGGATAATGCGACGGCATTTGGAGCGAACGGTACTGAGTTCGAGTCTCAGAGTGGACATCAACTCTGAGATGCAGGTACATCCAGCTGACGAGTCCCAAACAGGACGAAACGCGCGTCCTGGATTCCACTGCTAGCCACTATCCATCTTTGCTTATAATGCTTGTAAATTATGGCAATATCGAGGCATACGCACAGTATGCACATATGCCAATAAGAGACTGATCAAATTCAGTCCTAAAACATCAATGGGAAGATTCAAGTAAAACAATATCAAGTGAATTAAACTTCACCCCATTGCACAAGCAAGTGGCTATCAGGACTCAGTAGCTAAGTGGAGAACGCGATGGCGTTTGAAGCGAACGATACTGAGTTCGAGTTCTAGAGTGCACATCAACTCTGAGATACAGGTACATCCAGCTGTCCGAAATAGGACGAAACGCGCGTCCTGGATCCCAATGCTAGTCACTATCCGTCGTTGCCTGTATGAATATTTTTCAAAAGAGGATGATTTTTAAAAAAGTACTATTACAATTTCATTTCACTCTAATTTTACGTTATATTACTTTGAGTTATTCATTTGTTCAAGTAATATTATGCTATTTACATGCCAGAAAGACTACGATGACAAATTCTTTTTCTAAAACACCAATTCATTATGAACATTAATACTTTTTTTGTTTCTTCTACTCATAGAATTACTTTCTACTACTCTTATATGTACTTGCTTTTATTTGAAACGAATTATCATTCTTTGAATGGTAATCTAACTAGTTTTCAATACATTATTTCTTGATTTATGGTAAATGCTGTTTGTTGTTATATACTAATTTGACAAATATATTGTCACTTTTAATGCTTTTCAGGTGATGTAACTGAAACTTGGGGTTTTTAAATACAGTGTATTTTTTTTCCTTTTTCATAAGAGTGTTACACTTGCAGACTGATCTTGTATTTATTCTCTAGCAAAATAAAACATATTTCTAAAAAACAAAATGATTGCAATTTATCAGACACGATATCACAAGGCACTTAGAAATAATCAAACTATCGAAATGTTAACTACTGGTTCACTGCTTTCAACTATATTCTACTTGCTTCAATTTGATCAAATAAATAAAAACAAATCTACAACACAAGAGCTCAGTTTATAGAAATATAAATGAAGGTATTTAAATTAGTGTTCTCAGAATTAGTGAGGAATCACGTTTAACACACCTGTATTTATCGTTATAGGTCTAATAAGTTTCAGAAATAGCGACTTTTTCGAAATACTCCCTACTAAATTAGAGTTTAACGAATTGAGCTTTCTTCTACATAATACATATTTGAAGGGGAAATTAGGAAAACACGTTGGAAGTGGATAGGACATACGTTGATGAAATCATCAAACTGCATTACGAGGCAAGAGCTGAATCGGAATCCTGAAGGGAAGGGGAAAAGAGGATGGTCAACAAACGCAGTGTGTCGAGAATCGGAAACAGACATGAAAGGATGAATAGCAACTGAGAAGGATTGCCCAGGACAGAGTTCGATGGGGAAGCCTGGTAGGTGGCCTATGCTGCTCCACAAGGGGTAACAGGCGTAAGTAAGTAATAAATAATGCTTGAGCACATCCAGCTCCAAACAATGCACTACAAATAAGCTCTGATATATATATATATATATATATATATATATATATATACATATAACTCATAACACTTATGAAATTAAGAAAATTTCCATAAAACTACGATGTAGATGACCATTATCGTATGAAATAAACTAACTGATCTCTTGTTCACAACAAAGAATGTTAAATTCAAAACTTAAAATAGTGATGAAAATTGTTACTTACGTGAACAAAATGATTGAATGATTTTATTAAAACAAAATTCGATTGTCATTCAGCTGATAATTGTTTGTGTTAAACTGAAATGCATCCAAACATTGTCCCGCTTTTTCCAGTGAGGTTATGTATATGCTCTAATGAATACTACTGACATGAGAAGACTGTGATGATATGACTGAGAAACGATTATCTGTTACACTCACTAGAGGAGAAGTATTTCTGCCTTCTTTCTGTTTGATAGGATACTTAGAAGGCTGTGAAAAGTTGATAGTGAAATGTAATTTCAAAGGTCCACCACTTTCATTGGTTGAAACTAGTTGACCCTAGAAATAAAAAATAGGCTACATTTCCTTAGTAGAAAGAAGGAACATAAATGATTATATATATATTGGTAAGAATGAATTTACCGATGATATTTCGGTAAATACACACCATTTATATTCGGTTTGGTTTCAGAGTCACTAGCTTCTATTTATCTGCCAATCACCAAAATGTGCCACTTTCATGAACATAACGTAAGACCTCAATTTTTCACTTATTGTACTCATCCCTTACTGTTCAATATGCACAGATTTGTTGCTTCCCAGTTCCGCTAGTATACTCGATTGGTTTATGTTCTCGCACTAATTGTGCCAACTTGTATTTTAAAAGTCTTAAATTTTTTTTATTTGTTTTGACTTTAACTACACCACAGTTCCGCGTTCGAGAGTTAAGGGACTCATTTAGCAGAATATGTATATATATGCTCAATAAGTGATATCTAGCATTTTCCCCCTCATTTTATGTGTCAATCCTCCATATGAGAATGTGGTTTTCACTGGGGAATTCATTTTAATTATCAAAAGTTATCTATGTATGTTTTCTGTGAACACGCTACTGTACCGCCTTTCGACTTGTCAGATGAAATATCCAATAAAAACTATGTTCTTGTACCCAGCATTCATCCACTAAATAAACGGAAAAACGCTAGATATTGCGCACGCTTTGAACATTGGGAGGGAAATGTACTTGAAATTTACACAGGTATAGCATCCCTATACGAAAATTGAATTCCCCACAAAACAAAATGATATAAAATGAATGATTGTGTAGAATATGTCTTAGAGTTCACCAAAACTATCCTAACAAAATTTAATGAACGGCATAATGTTTCCAAATACACCTTAAGATAAAAGAAAGTTGATAATCGTCATGCATAATGGTTACTTTCCCCTATATAAAAAGCTATGCAAAATGATAGCTAAATGAAAGAAGGTATATAAAACTTAGCTCTTAAAAATTGGACACCGCACACAAATTATGGATAACATTGTTAGGAAAAGGGAGTAAAATTAAAGAGGAAATAATGGTAATAATAAATAAGAAAATTATTAACAAGAACAGTGCATAATGAGAGAGACAGTTCAGTTAACAATACAAATGATATTTCAGAACTTCTCAAGCTAAAGAAGTTACTCTCAAATGCATAAAGAATGTAAAAGGAAAATTACAGCACAACCACTACTAGAATCTGTCCTCAGCCATGTCCGATAACGTCTCACACCAATGTGTTTAGTGATCTCTCAGATGCCAACCAAGGAGTCGTAATGAATCGAGAGATGTCAGTCCTATATAAATTTCTTTTATATCATGGTCTCAAGCCATTAAGGAAATACCACTCTGGGTTTTTTTCAATTCAGTCCAAGTGTTGGCAATTAGTACACAATATGAAAGACCCTAAGATGACATTCGCAAAACATATCCACGCCACCGAGGCTGTTGTTTCAAAATGATGACATCAATAAAGTTATTGTCATTGAGCTCGAACACGCAATGTCAAAGCTAAGGATTACTGACATTGCTTCAACATTAAAAATAATAATATAAAGAATTTCAAAAAAAAAAGTAAATTGATTAAAATAGAATATGATAGTTGGTTGAATAGTCAACATGGAAATTACTTGTCTGGTACGATCATTTGAATCTAATTACTGAAATTTATCGTACAATTGAAAAAAATTGAGTAAAATATGAAAGTTTCAAAGAAATTATGGTAAAGACTTACTTTTCTTTGATGTACTCTTAAGTGTCTTGTAATCATATCACGCCGAGATGCAGAATAATAACATAATGAACATTGATACGGTCTTTGACCAGTATGTGTTCGTTGATGTGTAGATAAATGATCAGATCGACTAAATGCTTGACCACATATTATACATTCAAATGGTTTATGACCTGTATGCACATGAGCATGTCTTACAAGCATATCAGAACGAGTAAACTGACGAGAACATACCATGCATACATATAAACCATTTGAAGTTCTATGCTGAATAAGTGAACTATTAATACTACTACTTTTGTTAGTATCATTAGTAGTGGTAGAAGTGGTATTACTATGTTTATTAGAAGTAAGTGTTCGTACAGATGAAAATGTGTTAAATGTAGTACAATTATTAGTATTATTCGACACAGTTTGTTTACAGCTTGATGAATTTTCACATTGATAATTATCAACATCCATAAACTGTAGGTCGGAATAACTTTGAACAAGAGTATTATTATTATTATTATTATTATTATTAGTATTAGTATTAGTATTAGTATTAGTATTATTAGTATTATTATTATTAAACATAGAAATCTGATTAACATTAGTGGTATTTATTTGATTAAGAGCAATCGAAGTGTTTATAAAAGGTAAATGAGACTGATGAGTAATAGTTTGTTCATTCATTTTAGAATTAGTAGTAATAATAGTAGTAAAAGGAGTGGTAGAAGCAATAATGGTGGCATCAAAACTTTTTTCTGGCATGATATGAGTCGGTGAAAATAATGATGAATGAAGAGGTGTAGTCGAAAATTTGTGATCATCTAGAATAAAGGGTATAACAACAAAGTAAACATAAATTAATATATAGGTAAATAAATCATTTACAGAGATTACGGTGGTCACGGATTGATGTTAACTTAGTATTCGGAAGTGATAAATTACTTCATCATCGCACAAAACTTGATTGGATTGAAGCAGCTGTATTTTTAAACGGCTACTGCTTCTTTTTTAATTTTTACTTACGAACTAAGTCAACCGAATGATTTACTGTTGAGGCTTATTGGCAGAAGTCAAAATAACATCTCTGAAAAGTTTAGATAGAGTCATTTTCTTAATCTTTGAGAATCAGAATCGTTAGATCATTTGTTCTGAAGTTGATATGAATGATATATTGGCTTCATCGTGATTTTCAACATCTCAGTAGGATAGAGCATCCCATTGAATCACATAAAATTGTGTCAGATGAAAAAGTTTGGTAATAATAATGGCAGCACACAAATGGACGATTACAATGATAAGGGTGAAACTGTATATACATTTTTCATGTATTAAATGATCACCGAGCAGTAACCAATAAAATCCTTATTTAGCTCATTGTGTACTAATATTACCGCTATTATTAACGATGTAGCTACTACCAACACTTATACTACTAAGATTACTACTACCCCCATATGTAATAATCCTTTTCTACGTTCTAAATACGTCTTTATAAACATGATGATATGAAGAGTAAAAAAGTGATATACCTATTAGATATCGATATTTGAATAATGGACTTGAGGGATATGAAACAGATGTTTCAACTGATGTATATTGTTGCTGTCTGTGAGTAGTACATGTTGATGAAGTTAACGTCGATGGTTCTGAATCAATTGACACTGTTGTATATGGCTGACTACATACCAACAATAAAGAATTAAACGTTGAATTTTGAATGTTATGATTTTTTACTGAACTATGTATTGAATGTAAAAAATTAGGAGAGAATACAGTAGTAGCGGTAGTATTAACAGTATCGTTATTATTTATGGAGTGCTTTGACATTTGACTCATAGATGTCTCTGCCAATGAATGATATGATGATTTTTGTGAATGTTGTGGTTTACTAGCATCCACTGAATTTTTTTCAATCACTTCCGGACACAATAACTTATCGTTTGAATTATGCATACCGAGTAAAGGAGTTTTCAATTGATTGTTCGAATTAATTTCCAATAACGATGATGCTGAGTTGTCCAAACATGTATACAACGAACTATTCTTCTCATCGGTTAAAATTTGCATTACGGTCGGTTGATGATCACTTCCCTTCATATCGTCTGAATAGCAGTTATTGCGCAGTAGTGATTGTAATTCATTCAAGAACTATAAGATAAAATTAAACAATGATATGATATTGTCATAATTTGTAGAAAAAGATCAAAAGGTGAAACGAAGCAAGTAATTGTCAACGTTTACAAAAGTCTAGTTAGTTAAGCATGAGAAGAATAGATGTGATGATTTGTTGTTCGTCATTTATTTAACAAGTACATTTTCGTATACTCGATTATATCTCCAGAGGATCAGCTCTATGATGTATTCAACAGGAAATCAAACAAAATACTTTTGATCAATTGAATATAAATCAACAGCAGTGAACCACACAAATGAAAAACTATCTACTATATCGCTTAACTTGACATCAAGATATATGTTAATAGGAGAGTTACAGAGAATGGAAGCACTCAATATGTTTTCGACAGTGTCACTGTCGTCATCTACTTGATGGTGAAGATAATTTTAACACTTCAAAACCGCTCACGATAAACAACAACAAAGAAGTGGCTATGTTTCCGCGAGACCGCCGCTACTTGAAGATGGGAACCGAACCTACATATTCAAAAGGATACAGCTGTAAATCTCCTACTACTCTAGTGACTCATAATTTTCATCACTCAGTTACGTAATATCTTCTCTCAGGTACTCAGTGGAAATGTCTATTCTTTCATTCTTACTTCATTTCTCAGTTTTGCCCATTTTACTTGGTTGGTCTATCCAATTTTATGGTTGACATAAATTTCTAAACATGTCTATATATGTTTTAAACTCTTTCTCCAAGGCAGTAAGGAGGAAGAATGTATTTTTAAAATCTCAGCGAATGAATTTGAAATAAATTCAACGTTTCACTGAGATCTTAGGAATACATTCTTCCTCCTTAATGTTTCGCACCAACTTGGCGCCAAAATATTGTAAAACTATTCATTCGAATTTAGACGAAATTTGTTATATTATCCTCTAAGAGCTTTAAAAGTTAGTAACATATAAATATTATTCCATTTCACCACTCTGTAATTCATCTATACTCGTCATTATTCTACAGATCTTCATTAAGATGATACAAAGTATGTACATTGGTTATAAATAATCATTGCTATTGTTTTCTTTTATTTTAAGCAGCTGAACAAAAAGCCCTGAAGTACATGAACTCATCTTATTCCTCATGGTTTGTTATTTTTACTTTAGTCAAGATGGTAAAAAAAAGATTTACCAAATAGTTGTCGACATTCTAATGACCAACTCAATGCCTATCTAGACTAACATTTATTGTGATATATATTACCACAAATTATGTAGTCAAAAATGAAAACAAAAAGTAAAAAAGCAACTCATGTCTCACATTAGGATAAAAACATGGGGTTGAAATAGCTTGCTCATAATTTTCGTTATTAAGAGATAGTTTTGTTTCAGTATTTGAAGAATCGGGATTGTAAATTCTGTCATTGATGGTGCTGATAGGATTTTGTGGATTCAATGTATTACAATATCGGTTGTGATTGGAAGAAACGGTTGACTGAATCATGTTCGGTTTATATTTATATTTATTAGCCAATAGTTCTCTGGTTAAAATATCACAGAGCAATTTTCTCATGAGAGATTGGAAATTTCTGATTTGATTGTCCGCTGAATCCGTCAAAAAAAATCCAAAACACTCAATTTATTAGTGATATGTTATGCACAACGTAAGATTTATAAAATATTTACATAAACCTAAGAACCATGAGAAAAAGGAGAGTACAAGTTACTTAAAAACTCATTTCCTAAATATACATTTATATATTCGATTTTTAGACAAACTTTGAGCTAATGACACGGATTGTTTGCATAAACCAAGCAATGGTTCAGTGTCTAAGGTAGTTGACTTTTCCCGCTTGATCTACATCAGTCTAGGAAACTGGATTAATATAACTAGCTCTGATACTTTAAGTTTGGATTACACCTAAGCACCTGATGAATAAGTTGATTATTTATCTCTTTATTTATGACATGAAGTAGGTTACAAAGGGATCGAATTTGTAACCTTTCGGTTGAACGTTGATTATTTTAACCACTGAGACATTGTTCTACATAAGTAGGTCCTTGTTATTTAACAAAACACTGATCAGGTGCAGAAAAAGCCTTTTCCATGTTAAACCCAAATATACTAGCACAACTCAACAACTATATAGAAATAGACGCACTGGACTTTGAGTTACAGATTGTGATGCAATCTAAAACTGTTGGATCAGCATTTCTTCTTAATTTTAACTTACAAATTAACTTTTTCGCTTAGAAACTACTCAAATGTCATAAAAAAACTGAAACTTTGTCAAATTAAACCGCAGAAAACCTCTTGCCTATGATTTCTTAATGTTCTGTAGATGAATACCCTTTTTCTACAGCTGATAACTTTACCAATTTCAACTATGTCAAGAAGTGCACATTATAAATAAAAAAACTCGTAAATCCTAGCTCCTAATTTTAAAACTCCTAGACCCTTGCTCCTAGCCCTAATACTCTTAGCATTAACACTCCTAACGCAAACATATTGACATTAACAGTTTATAGAGCAAAGAAAACATCATAATGAAAATCGTGAGTTTTGGCAGAGAGCTGTCCATAACAACGTTTTGAATTCTTGCAACGGTCAGTTTAATTTTGATCGGTTGTTCAAGAGCGCCAGTAAATTATAGTCTTACCCTAATAGGATAAAATGTATTTCAGTTCTAAACAGATCTGACAAATATTAATAACGATATACAGTCATACTGAATAGATTGAAACAAAATTAACAAATAACAAGTATAATACATGAATTAGATTTCTTTCTATTGATCAACTCTTCAGGTATTGTACTTTTAGTTTCCAAGTGATAATTCGTATCTGTATTTAACGGCACCTTCATAGTTTTTTCATTGTTGTAATCTGTTTGTGTTTCTTTTAATAATGGGACATGTACCTATAACATAATAGAAAGGCACTTATAACTATGTACAATGTAATAGCAGAGAAACAATGAGAAATAAAATGAATTATTCAACTTACTACTAAGTCGAAGAATTAATAAAAATAACGAACAGGAACAGTGAAAGAACATTCACCAAAATTCAATACTAATCGAACAAATAATGAATACTATGAAACACTGAACATGAAATACACATTGCGATACGAAAGATCTTAGAACAAAATACAACGTAACTGCTTTAAACAAAACTACTGAAAACATCACAGCTAAAATAAATAACAAGCACAACTCCCATGAATGTATATGAACATTATTTAATCACAGAAAAAAAGATCCATTATTTTGTAGCATTATTAATAGATCAACAAAAAGAAATCATAACCGATCGCATTATTGTCTAATACTTGAAATTTTGTAACATATTTTAAATCGGTTAAGGAAAACAAAAATTAAGACCAGTTTGTGGCTTGTAATCTATGAAAATTTTTTAATCTCTACAAAGCCCCACATTGATACTAATCACGTGTTCACAAGTGATTAACTTCTAGATGATATCCCTGGAGTTATAGTGAAAAGCAGTGGCTAGTAGAGTCCAACCATATTGGGTGTGAGAGTTATCTACTGAAGGTAATGGAAAATGGTCGCTTAATATCGTGGATTGAAGTTAGACTAATAAACCATTGGATCCGACACCGTAGTTTAGAGGTCAAAATTTCTTATGCGACATCGAAGGCCTTAGGTTTGATCCCGAGATGCGGGGTCGTGTATGTGCACTGCTAAAGTATAATATTAGGATGAAACAGTAATCCGATGCATCCAGGTTTTCGACGGTGGTCTAGCTAAGATCAATTCGTGATTTAGAATCTATGAAGATTTAATTAACAAAAAAGTACAGTATTAAAGAGTAAAAAATAACACGAAATCCACTAGACATATACATGAGCAATGGAAAACGAAATTTGATAGGGAAATCAAGAGAAAAATACAGACAATTGACATATTTCGAGTTCAAACAAGCTTATAAAATACGTCAATGTGAAATTATCCTCCTGAACTACAAATTTTTCCCACAATTGGCTGGTGTTTGGTTTCAGATTTGACTAGTCCTTTAGCTCTGTGATAGTTGTAAGTAACAATAAGACACAAACCAAGAAAAAAAGATGGTTTAGTAAAATGGTATCATACTTAAAACTGTGATAATTCGTAACCTGCTTGTTACTGAAAACAATTTATTGATTAGAGTATGAAAGTAATAATACAAAAATAAAAGCATTGATTGTATAATGAATGATAAACTAGTTGTAGAAGTTGAAAAATAAACAAATTATCATCAATTAAACAAAGAGTATTAATTCCATTGAACTCATGAATCAATCAATTTTAGACCACCATTGAAAGCCTGGAAGCATTGGACGGCTGTTTGTCCTGGCAAGTGACTCCTCAGCACTGCGATTCCGCATGCAAGATTAGAACCCAGAACCCTCGATCTCGTGCGCAAACGCTCAACCTCGAGAACAATGAGCCGGCACCCAATAGTGTCAGTGTCTAACTTCAACCAATCCACCATGTCGCGTGACCATGTTCTATTGTCTTCGGAGGGTAAGTGTCTCATACCCTACACGGTTTAACTCCACAGGTCACGGTCTGTCATTAGAACTTCGAGAATTCCCTCTCGAAGCCAATCACCAGTGAGCACATGATAATTTTCAGCTTGGGGGTGTGGGAATCGTCTAACATTGATCGGTTCAAGACTTCAATGAAATTCAGTAATCTCCATAACCCCAAGCTGAAAAGATTATTAATTGTAGAAGATAAATTGATTAAATATTGATAAAATTAATTCGAAAGTTAAATCTATTCAGAAAGAGCACAAAAACAGTAACTAATAGATTAGGGATAAGTGAATTACAGAATGAGGGAGAGAAAATAAAGCCACAGATCACGACTATGATATTAAAAAGGGATTGAATAAATTTTCTTCTTAGAAGTACAGTTCGTGATTCCAGATGTCCATAACAAACACAATTTTGTACAGCGTTCAAAATGAAATATTTGAAAAAAAGATTTCGTTGAAGCATTCTATTTTCATTGTTTTAATTATTCACATGAATGTTAGTTTTTCATATCTCTTGTATCTATATAATGGTTTTTTGACTAATAAAACAATGGAGTCATTTTTCCAGAGATCCTGATATCAGATTTCCATTCAATAAGGTACTAGAATCGAGGTAACTTGAACAATTAACTGAAAACTGTTCAAGGGTGGAAGGAATAGTTGGAGATGTTGATGATATGAAAGGGAATCAGTTCCAATGGTGTAGATGCACTCGTGGTTCGTATCTCCCTTGCCGGAGCTAGTGGGATTTGCACCCAAATCCCCTGGTACGGCCGAGAGTGGGGAGAGTCAGCTCTCACTCTCGAAATGCTCTCACATGGCCACGCGTATACAGACACTGCCAGGGAAATCCTACTCACTACCTTCTCGCGACAGGGTGTTGTTTAAGAAATTCAAAGGACGAAAAGCGAATATCCGACGCTTTAACCGGGTTGGTGGTGGATACGAAGGATCCACCTAGAGGAATCGAAAAACCCTGATTCCAAACCAATGGTGCACATGGGCTCCAGGATCCTGAAAGAACAAATGGCGTATGAACCAATTATTGGTCACCGGCTACCTGGAACCGCATCTCCTGACATTATTCCACTGCTTTGTGGATCAGATCTTTAGGTCGAAGGCTCCGAGTGTGGCCTCCTAAGGAAACTACCTGCTTCGGTTTGGGTAGTATCATAGCCTACACACAAATCAAGTGACTTGTGTGGCGTATATGCTTTCGATTCCCCTTTGTGTCAATATTTGTATGTTCAAATAAATAAACAAATAAAGATTCATTTACTTCTTGTATTCATTCAGATTTTGTAACTTAAATTTTACTGCACGAATACTTTCTTTTCTCCGTAATCATGTCGTCTAATGCTTGCTTACTAACACGGATGCTGTTACTAATTCTACTACTCTGGTATTTATCTTGATAATTTCATCTCATTGTGTTGACATAATGTGACAACTCGAACTAATGAATACATGTACTAGGTTCTACGTTGCTTATAACTGATTGAGAGACTGAAACGCATATTCAGATTCACCAAAAAAACATTCTCAAAATTTCAATTATCTCTTTCAGATTTCATTGTTTTACAATTTTTTTAATCGTCATGTGATCAATTTGAAACTGTATTCAAGTGTAAAGATTAATTACCGGATTCACTAAATAGTCCTATTAACACCTGGTTTCACAGTTGTACTAATAAATTACCATGGTAAGTTAATAACTGAAATTCCACGTTTATGATTAAAACATTATTTTAAAATCAATTTTCATTGAGATCTCTATAAACTTACTCATTCATCCCATGGATCTTTTAGATTTTCTTCACTAATCAGACGATTTTTTTATCACTACTTAACTGTTGGAAAGGATAGAAAGTTGACTAATATTTCATAGTCGTATATTGATTAGATGTTGACATCACCGCTAAATATCGTTACATGCCGATCAATCAAACATTATTTTGTCCGTTTTTTCAAGTTGAAAGTTTTTGCATAAAAATACATTCATTTTTGTATGAGTTGTTCGAACTCATCTATTGTTTTTTTTATTATGGGATAGTATAACTCCCAACAAGTTGTAGCAACTAGTATTGTTGGACAGATCATTTATTCTAATCATTCCATTTATTTTTTCAACCAAATATTTGACTTTTTCAAGTACTCACGTGTGTACTTTGGAGATGTTTTATATTTATGCATAAGATAGCAAATATGGATAAAATTATATTATGCCGACGGCCTTGAGTTGACCAGTCAGAATTAAGATAATGACTTGAGTATTTTGCGCGAAGTCTAAAATCTAGTAGAAGATCATGTGTATGTCATTATCAGCCAAGTGAAAATTGACACTATTTGGTTTTTAAAATGTTTGGAACCAATGAAAATATTTGCCAAGCAACCGAAAGGTGAGTTTTAGACGGTGGCTAGGTTAAGTTACAAAACATACATGCTCTCAAGGCCGATTGTGTTTTAAAGAACGTGATGTCGTTTATTGTGTTATGAAGTGTTCAGTGAAGTTTGATTACATTCTCAGTTTTCTAATCTTACTCAAAATCTCAATCCTAAGTTTTTCAGTTTTGTAAACAGGAAGGTAAGAAGGCAATGGATTATAGATGATGTCAGTTCGTGTTGAAAATTGTGACCTTTATTAGTAAGCCTAGCTCATAACTAACCCTAATCCTAATGCATTATAACTGATGTCAGTTTATGGAAACTCTGTATGATAATAACCCTAATCCACAACATTAGTCCAACTATTCATATGTATGTCTATAAGTAAACTTGCCTTTCTTTACTACAAGGAATAATCTGACTTGTGAGGGTTAATTATTACGATCAAAGTTGTTATTTCACTACTTTCTATTGTTAATTGTTTCATACATAAGCAGCATTTCCTGATAGGCTGATAGGTTGCCCAAGGCCATCACTATATTATACTTCCACCCACGTATGGACCTATCCATTTCCTGTATTTCTTATATGACTTCTAAGAACTGAGTCGTCTCTGAGTTGATGTATTATTAAACTCCAATACTTTATGTAATTTCAGCAGTTTCTGCTTTTTGTCTATCGTTCAATATAATTAACACGTCTGAAATGTATGTATTCTAAGTACAATTCATATTCCACTTTTGATACCGCTGCTTTAAACATATTAGGTCGACGGAACATATGCCAAGTAAATAGGACATATATATCATTAAAATCATTACCACTCAATAATTACAGAGTCAACGATAGGCGCTAAAGAGCTAATAAATTTTAGTCTCTTGAATAGTTGACTATTATTTAGTTACATTGTAACATATTCATAGCATCAATTTACTGATATTAAATTAGGGTCTATAGTAAAATACGCTTGTGATATAACATAAATACAAGACAAACAGCCACAGGAAAGCAGGGAGCATTGAACAACTGTTCTAACCTAATACTCAGCTCATCAGAAATGCATAACTATGATGTGAAAAGGACTGGCATTAATAATTTTCTGAATAAAGTCAATCTGTGACATAAACTACAATCTTTATACTGAACAGTAGTTGAAAACATCATCTGGTGAAAAAACTTTATTTATTTCAAGACGATGAGCAAATAAATATACAGAAAATATCTTTTCCCACCTTCGTTTGATGTATGAACCGCTTCTTGTAATAAAAAACATGTATTTTGTTACTTAATCATCTAAGTTGTTTACCACAATGAGACAAAAATTATTTTTCCACCGTAAAGCAATAAATAAACATTGGGAAACTAACTAGGATTCTAAACGATATAATTTCAGTTAGAGAAGGAAATTTGATTACCTTTGAGGTGTAGATTCCCAAAAGTTGATAAGTGTAAAAACTTTTAGGTTCATGACTGAACGAAATCTGTTTCAAAAAGTAGATTAATTTTTTATGAAAATGTTTTAAAGAAAATATATCAGTAATAGATCAATAATATTTACCATCTTAGTAAATGGACTGATTGATTCATAGATTGTACCACAATGTGACATTGATTGACTCAACAAGTATCGATCAATTAATATTTTTTTATAATTTCCAGGAGATGTTACACCACCATTAAACATCGCCGGCGTCGAATTAGACATCTTACAAAACTCAGCATCTGCATTCGATCGACTAGTAACTGAAGTGTTTGTAGACAGTGACTGATAGCTTCGATTATTATTATTATTATCACTATTAGTATACGTAACATCAATGGTAGAAGTAGTAGTAATCGAAGTATCACGACTGTAATTTGTAAGTTCACTAATTGCTAACATGGAATTTGTCTTCGGAATACTGTCCACAGTTTGATTAAGGTTAATAACTGCATTTTGGAAATAATTCGTATTTGAAACGAAATCGTCATCTAAAGAACACAAGAAAAAGGAAGATGCAATTAGAGAAAAAATATATTAACAGATTTATTTGGATCAAAATATCTTATAGCCTTTGGATGTAAAGTATTTTATATTAATCCATAAAAAACATACAGATATTATGTTCTCCTTAACTCTTAAAATTTGTTTCTAAGATGGCAATGCAGCCTAGAGCTCTTCTCGGGTTACTGTCGGTCCCAAGTCCAGGTAAAGAAGGAGGATCGTGAATACGGTCAGTAACCATATCTTGTAGAAAACAACCTCACTAAAAACAAACGCTAACCAGATTAAATAAATTAAACCATTCAAACTCTGTACACCGAGTTAAGCGATTATCATTCTGAAGAATTATAACGTCACATCGTGAAAGCCGAGATTCTTCATAAGTTACGAAGCCGATGCCACTCCTAATAACCAGAGCAACAATTAATATAAGTATATGGAATGTCCAGATAATGTGGGAGACAGTGAGAACCAACCAAATAACTGCGAAAATGAAGAGATACAACTTCACAGTACTCGAAATCAGCGAAACCCATTAGACCCAAGCTGGACAGAAAGAATTACCTTCTGGAGAGATGCTATTTTACTCGGGTCACGAAGAAGAAAACGTCTCGTACACACAAAGAGTTACACTGGTGCTGTCCAAAGAAGTACGAAATGCACTTATAGGATGGGAATCTCATAGATGCAGGATCATCAAAACATCCTTCAAAACAAAGGAGGGAATCGCAATGTATGTTATCTAATGTTATGCACTTACCAATGATAGCATTGACGACGATAAAGATCGGTCATAGCGAAGTGCTAAGGAAAGGACCTCACCATCCTGATGGGAGACCTAAACTTGGACAAAACCGTATGGATATATATATATATATATATATATATATATATATATTACCAGGATCTACATTGTTTGTGAGCATCCTATTGACTCAGTATCCTTTCATTATAACTCAGCAAAATTTAAGGAACTTAAGAAATTATTAAAGATCCGTCATGTTCATAATACATCCTGTCTTTTGTTATCAGAAAATGCAGTACACATAAATCAAGATGAATCAGTGTCATAATAATATTCCGATAGTCTAGATAACGAAATAGGGCACCTTACTTAGATTTTAAAAGCGTTAATAATGCTAATTCAATAGTGTTGAGTAGCAGTAGTAGAAGTGATCAGTGCACTCAGTCATTCAGTCAGTTACAACGTAGGACCAGGCACATATGTGCATCGGTCCAGGTTGCCATACCTCATTAGCACAGCAAGATGAACACCGGATTCATAAAAGTAGTTAATTCAGAGGTGGTAATATATAGGAGAAAGACTGCACTAGGGAAAGAAAAATGGATTTAAATTTTTGGCATTCTTATTGTTAAGTTAGATCATTAGCCTGTTTAAAATTGCTAATGTTCGGTATTCCAACGAAATAAAATTATCCTTACTTACTTACTTACTTACTTACGCTGTTATGTGTCGTGTGGATGCATAGACCACCAACCAGCATTCTCCATTGAACTCTGTCTTCGGCAATCCTTTCCAGTTGCCATTTATTCTTTTGATGTCTGCTTCCAATTCTCGACACAGTATGTTCCTTGGTCTTGATCTTCTCCTTTTGCCTTCAGGATTCCAAGTTAGCTCTTGCTTCGTGATGCAGTTCGATGATTTTCACAATGTATGTCCAATCCACCTCCAGTGTCTTTTCCGAATTTCCTCTCCGTGTTGTATTTGAGGATCTTGATTTTCCCTTGTGTATGTTGACCTCTTCAGACGTTTCTGATACACAGGCCGTCTTGAAATGCATTTGCTCGTGTGTATGGGATAGAAGGACTAGGTCATCTGCGAAGACTATATCGTCTAGTTGCATTGCCGCTGCCCATTGTATTCCGTGCTTCCCCTCAGATAAGGTTTTCATAATCCTATCGACCACCAGAACAGGGAGAAAGGGTGGTGGTAAACAGCCTTGTCTGATACCAGTTTTCCATTGGAACGCATCTGTCAACTGTTCTCCCTACGCAGCTTTGCAGTGTAGTCCGTCGTATGAATTCCGGATGATGTTGACTATCTTCTCAGCTACACCGTAGTGTCGAAGAAGGTTCCATAAGGTCCTCCTATTCACAATGTCAAACGCCTCATAGTCAATAAAGTTTATGTGTAGTTGCGAGTTGCATTGAACTGGTCGTTCGACGATTATCCACGGTGTCGCAATTTGGTGTGTGCACGACCGGTCCTTATGGAATCTGGTCCGTCGGTCTGAAAGCTGGACGTCTACTGAACCTTTCATCCGGTTCAGCAACACTCTGTTAAAAACGTTTCCTGACACCGATAGAAATCTTATGCCTCTATAGTTATCACATATGCTGATATATTCGTTTGGTATCTTGATGAGATATCTTTTTTTCAGTCTATTGGCTCTTGTTCCTCCTCCAAAATCTTCCAAAATAGAATGTGGAGCATGTTTGCGATTGCTTTTATATCCTAGAACCTCCTGACACGTTGAAGTTCGTGCTTCCTTGATCCTTTTCCAATTGTCCTCCATAATAGTTTCCTCGTCTTTGAGTACGTCTTGTAGGGCTTGTGACCTGTCGTTGAGATCTATCTCGAATTCGTTGAGTATGTCGAAGGAAGGCTGTATTGAACCTTTGTAATGCTTTTTCCCCAGTTGTCCAATGCTACTTTAGCTTCGGTTTCATCTTGAATACCATCCACTAGTGGTGATCTTAAAATATATCAACTCCTGATCTCGTTCCCACGTCTTCCATCGATCTGAATTTTTTAGTGATGAAAATGTGATCGGTCTGGTTCTGTGTAGTGTGATACGATGAGACCCATGTAGCTTTGTGTATGCGTTTGTGTGTGAATATTGTACCACCTATAACCATTTTGTTGAGTGCACATAAATTTGCAGATTTGTCACCATTCTTGTTCCTTTCTCTCAGTCACTCCATATTGTCCCATGATATCTTGATACCTGGTGTTGTCCATTTCGATTTTGAAGTTTAGGTCTCCCATCAGGATGGTGAGGTCCTTTCCTTAGCACTTCGCTATGACCGATTACAACCTCTCATAAAACTGATCTTTATCGTCGTCAATGCTATCATTGGTAAGTGCATAACATTAGATAACATACATTGCGATTCCCTCCTTTGTTTTGAAGGATGTTTTGATGATCCTGCATCTATGAGATTCCCATCCTATAAGTGCATTTCGTACTTCTTTGGACAGCACCAGTGTAACTCTTTGTGTGTACGAGACGTTTTCTTCTTCGTGACCCGAGTAAAATAGCATCTCTCCAGAAGGTAATTCTTTCTGTCCAGCTTGGGTCTAATGGGTTTCGCTGATTTCGAGTACTGTGAAGTTGTATCTTTTGATTTCCACAGCCACTAATTTATGATCCCCAACCACTATGTAAACAATGAAGACAAACACTAAGTACGAAGTTTTACGTCAAAGGTCGATTAGTGATCTTTACAACTCAGACGTGTATAAATATTCCAATAATGCCCAAACGGAGACATATGGTCAGTGACTCTGATTAGATGGATCATTGTCTTAATTTCAATGGATCACTCATATTTATGTTTAACATTCTATATAGCTTTATGAAAGTGACCACTGCGGTTTTTGTTACCCGATATATTTACACTTCACTATATGTTTGCTATAATATGCATAACATCAAACTATTTTAGATACTGTGATGAGGATTTCCATTATAAGATTATGTAAATAAATAGAATGAGTAATCGAAAATGTTACATAAAATATCAATTAAGTTTTACACTTACATAATGGTTTTTGTCGTTGTTGTTGTTGTTGTTGACACTGTTGTCCTTCAAGTCGATCAGTCTCCAACTTCATACATTGACGCCTTCTCCATCGTCTCATATATAATGATGATGTTTTTAAGGCATTAGAATTTAAACAATCCGGTAGTAGAGTTGTGCACTTTATTCATGAATCGCATTTTCGATTATTAAATAAAACAGTAATTTTAAAAACAAAACACACAGAATAATACTTAGCAAAATAGACATTGACCTTTCGCTTCATGATAATATAGTGATTTATGGGGAAAAATTTTGTGCGAAAAACAATACTAATTAATTTGATAGATAGATACCCAAGACAATTGTTCCTTAACTGCAATGACTATTGAAACCTATCAACTAATGTTGGGTGATTTGGAGCGATTTGTAGAGAACCTTGGACCTAGATTTTGTGCTAGTTGGGACTTAGTTCTATGGTCACCTGCTGACTGTTTCCAACCATCTAACACTGAAACATAATGCACGAAAAATAGGAAAGATTCATGGACAAGAGTTTAACGATTGTACATGAACTGTCTAAGCCAGATCCGTGAAGATACGACGTTAAAGGTGAACAGAACCCTATGGACTATGCTTCTCGTAAACGATCTCTAGATAACGAAATAAAAATCAATGAATCGATTGGTTAAAATTACCAAAACTCCTATGGGGAAACAAGGATAAGTTTCTAAGCTTCGAATAAGGTGAGAATGTTGTTGTAGAGCATGTCAGAAGATAAATAAATACAATATTTAACACGGTTATGGATGGGTACTTCTGAAAAGTCACAAACTACGATTAAAACAGCTGTTACCTGGTTCCTAAAAGCTCTTTACTAGACGTCAGTTCAGGAAAAAAGCTTACATCGAACTGTAAAATTTCCGTGTACGTTTTAATTACCGGATGTTCGATATTTTTTGTTATTGAAAAATACCAGAACCGGTGGACTTTTGTATGAGATTCTATGTCAGTTAATCTGTTTACTAATTAATATCTTTTCAAGTAAAATTTCAAAATCGAGACAACCAAGCCCAAGACTATTAACCAAAATACATAAACTAATAAGTGAAATATGAATTAATCTGTAAACAATGTTGAATTAGATAACTATACTATGCAGAGGGTTTCGGTCACTTCTTAATAAGAATATACGTGACTTTATTATACAAAGGAAAATATGATGACTTTATATATTCAACAAAAGCCAAATTCTTTTGCATGACCATATTTCATTTAAAAAACAATTACCAATGCGGTTCACATTACCTTGTACAAACTATAATCCCAGATTTTAGGTTTCATGTATCATAATCGTAAATGTTTATGTCAAGGAGAGAAAATATGGTGAATTATGAAAAGCCAAGTAAACATATCACGTGTTAATTTCAAGGACAAAAAAAATTGATCAACCATAGTCGTTATTCCTAATATTCGACTGAGGATTACCTATACTATACAACATAGACATACAGAAACTCTGGGAAACTCCAGAAATTGATCCATTAATGCTGTTTGTCAGTGTGATTCATTAAACTTCCAAATCATTACTAAATATGGTAGATTTTAAAATCTTCCAGAACTCAAAAGTTGAGTGCAACTATATAATCGATTACTCGAATTTTAGTTTGACAAGACAACCGATTTAAGAACCTTGAACAGATGGACTATGGTTTGAATTGCCAAAACACATCAAAATAAACAATAAGATAATCGAAATAATAGTAGTATCTGTGGTAGAAATAACTAGTTTTGACTGAAGAGGATATCGTCTAAACTAAAACCAGAGGGCTTAAAGTTAAAACTAAAGACAAGTAAAACAATGAACCCTCAACCAACCAGCTACCTGTCTAATATAATATTGTACTAAAACTTAAAAAATACATATAAATTTCAGATAAAAAGTTTAATTAATAGAAGAAAGTTTGTATTTTCCAAAAAAACCAATAAAGTTAACAATGAGAATACCTGAAAGTTAGTTGATGCAGAATTCATGTTTAGACTTGTTGAATAAATTAATCGCTATAACCCAAATCCATCCATTATATTGGTTGAATGTTTAGGCAAATGTCCCAAAAAACAGAGCAATTTACCTATTTATCGACGAAACCAATCAGACAATAGGCTAGATATATAAATAAAACAGGATGAATCAAAAAAGTCGAAGTGATTGTAAAGAATAATTTATCAACAAATTTTAAAAATAAGAATGAGTAACACTGATATTTCATATACATTTCATTTGTAAGGGTTTAGATTTGTCCGTTTTTTATGTTAAGTACTATGCAACTGATCAGTCCATATTAGTAGATGTACATCATCAGCGGATTATCTCGATACTGACATCAAATAACAGGTTTATTTAAACAAAGTTTTGATAGTGGATAGCAGTGGAATTTAGAATGTGAGTTACGTGCTATTTTGGACACTTTGGTTGGATGTTTTTGCAACTTGCACGAATTTTATATAAATGTTTCTGAAACATATGCGGTGAGACTTTATGAATGACTAACTTTTTATGCATTTAAGACCACTTATCATTATTATAAAACTAGGCAGTGATTCAAGCAAGAACAATTTGAAAATGTATTAGTCAAAAAGTAAAAAAAAAACACTTTCTTTTAAAGTTTATCAAACTCTTCGCATTTATCTGACGCTTTTGTTTAAAAAGACATTTGCATACTCTAAGTTGATCAAATAAACGTAGAACGTGAACTAAGAAAATTCTTTAATTCGGAATTAAATGAATGATCATTTATTGGGATATCTAGCATAACTTCGATTGTTCGATACTAAGTCAAGTGAAAAAACCAAACCATATCCCAGGTGAATTAAAATTAGTGGTCTCGGAATGATCATTTTTACTTAACTAAGCTAAACATAGTTATGTAGAGTTGGCTGTAATGAGAAGCAATCAGTAACCTGTTTTTTTTCGTTTATTTACCAATTGAGTAAGACAGTTAAAGGTTGAAAACTCATCAGTAATTAATATTTCTATTTAGGCTGGTAGCAAATCTAATGAACCTGTTTGAAGGGTGTTAGTTTGAACCGATTTAAAGCTGAAGTTTCCTGTTGACTTAAATTAGTATGTATTTCTAATAATAGCAGTGCTAATATCAGAATACTAATGAAATATTTCGATCGAAACGCTACAATAATCTGATTCCAATGTATTCTTCAGAATAATTTTGCGATATAAATAATTCAATTTCCCCTGTACTAACAGACATTATATTGTTCTAAACAACTTGCTGGTTGGAAGTCATGTGATTTAACTACTATCCCACAGCTCAACAAATAGAGGAAAATTCCATTTAAGAACACGAATGGTTCATCGATGTGTACTCAAGCATAGATTCACATAGTAAGTCAGTCAGTCAGCTACAACGACTGACTGATTCACATAGTGTTCTTGTCGGCAATAAAGTGTTAAACCAGCTTAGCGGAAACAGGACCCGATGTATCATCCATTCGATTGGCTTTAACATGTAACAGAAATTGTTTATAATAATTTTTTGGATTTGTTCTAGCTTAACTGATAACTTTGGCACTACATATCGACGATACAATGTCAATAAAAATGATACAATCAATCTATAGAAAGGACTTAATATTCAAAAAAGATAAAACAGTTACTTGTGTATACGCCTGACAATCACAACTCACAAAAAATTTTATTGATGTCAGTAATAATAATAAATTTACCATGCTTCTAATTTACGTCAGTGATGTAGCACTGACCTTAATATAGGACAAAACAAGAGAAATCTATGTGACGTAGATGGTAAGTATGAATTATTTTCAATTTATTCATAAATTGTATGGCTTTCCTTTCTTCATACACACAATCTGATTAAGAGTTACAGGAAACAATCCAAATCTGAGAAAAGAAATAGATTGGTATTTTCAAGATCGAATTTAACTTGCACATTTTTACTTAAACGTTGCTTTTCTTAATGTACCACCTTTCTAGCTTCTGTGTTTGCGCTAATATTGTTAAAATTCTCATTACAAGTTTAGTGTTTTAACAGGCCAAAAGGAAATACTTATTTAAGTTAGCTTCATCAGTTAAAAACGAATGAAACGAATTCAACCAATATGGGGTAATAATAGAGATGGTCATATTTTCATAGAATACAATAAACTGTTCTTTATCAACAAGTAAATTATTTTGTTTGGTAACAATCTAGAAAAAAAACAATTTGCAAAACTATAATTTTCGTGATGCTTATAGGTGGTGTGAAGTGAAATCATCTTGAAGATTACACACAACTATATTAACTATACTTTAACAATAGGGATTTTCGGGTATTCAAAAATGAATGCTTTACACTAAAATAATTTATTTTTAAACAATGTTGAATATGAAATTTTAATTCGAACAATAAAGCTATTTAAATGCGTGTATATTTTGTAATAACACATAGTAATTAGATAAAACATAGCTGAAGTAATAAACATTAAATGTATACGTATACTTCCCAATCAATGAGACAATCAGTCTAGGATCCATACCCTATGCTATGCTTGAATAATAATTACAAAATTAGACTCAGTCAGTAACAACACAGAACTTCGTACGGACGTAAATCAGTTCGAGTTGCCATACTACATTAACATACAGATGCAGTTGTCGATTCAAATCCCGTAGTGGTAGAGTTAGTAACAAAATTAGACTACAAACGATAATAGCAAAAATTAACCGATAACAAGCGTTTTGAGTAAACTCTACCATACATATTCCCTTAAAAGGACTGACCAACTACAGTCCTAAGCGTCAGTACGAGGATTCAAACAACCAATATGTATGAATTAAAATTCACCTTATTGCACAAGCCAGTGGCTATATGGACTCAGTAGCTAAGTAGGTAATGCGATGGTGTTTGAAGTGAACGGTACTGGGTTCGAGTGTGAGGGTGAACATTAACATTGGGATGTAGGTACATCCAGCTAAGGAGTCCCAAATTACATGAAAGGCGCGTCCTAGATTCCACTGCTAGCTACTGTCTATTTCTACTAAAAATGCCTGTGACTTAGTGCCAACCCCAACATGGTAATATAGAGGCCATTAGTACACGATGCACATATGCCAAAAGAGACCGACCAATTGAAGTCCTAAACATTAATGAGAAAATTCAAACAACCAATATTCATGAACTACATCTTATATATATATATATATATATATATATATATATATATATATATATATATATATATATATATATATATATATATATATATATATATGTTTTTGTAAATTAATTGCAAGTCTTTTTTCCAATATTAACAATTAATTGATGCTTTCAGCTGCATATGACAATATTCACACCCTGAATTCTTCTAAAATTGTGTTTCATAATGGTCATTTAATAGGATATTCCAGTAAACACAACTAGCAATTAGATGTGGATGGATTAGCTTTGAAATAAAGTAGATCAATATTAACTGAAAACAGTAAACCAAATATATGTGGTTTGACTAATCTGTGATTATAGCAAAATAATAACATGGCTAAACTTCAGATCAAAAAGCAATTTACCGCATTAAAAAAAAATTATTTCGAACGCTTTTGTATACAAATGAAAGGCACCAATAAATTTCTAAGAATTCATACTAGGAAAGTATTATATATAAAAAAAGCAACTTTAAATACAAGTAGATCCCCCCGCTACAAATTAATTAATATGACTGTGCAAACATTTTACACTTATATTACAAATTCAACTTTACACTAAAAGAAACCCTCTCAAGTCTGTAAAACTCAAAATGAATTTAGTAACATCAGTGTACGCATGTAAACCTAAAACGGACATTAAAAGTAGTGTTTGCGTGGAAAACATTGATTTATTTCATCAATCATTTATGTACAACGCAGAATTTGACACGTGTGTACATTGGTCCCAGTTATGATTAGCACAGTGAGATAAAATAATCAAGATAAATTGTGGAGTAGAAGTAGTGACAGAATCAGTAGTAGTAGAAATTTATTAGCTTGTTTATTTAATTTACATAAAATCAGATACAACTGGTGACCAAAACTAAGATGCACCACGTAAAAAATAATCTAGATGCACCCGAACCCAAGTTGGTTACTTTTGGGGACAGATTCTTCGAAGTTTTGACCGAGGGGTTTAATCGATAAGGCAATGAAGCAACATCAAGACGCCGTCCCATGACACGTGAAGGACAAAAGAAATTTCATGTCATTCGTCCTGTTATGAATCTGGAGATCATGTGTATTATCAGTTTGTAATCAGGGTTTTTTAACTCTTCTGGGTGAATGCTCCATATCTACCAACGCGATGTAAGCCCCACAAGCTCCATTTCTTTTTTTTTTAATTTTGTAGACAACACCCATACCGCATGAAGCCAGTAAGAAGGGACTCACCTGGTAGATACTACAAACGAATGGCTATGTGAGAGCGTTACTACGTGTATAGCAGAATCACATCAATTTCGGCAGCATAGAGGTATTCAAAGGGTTATGAAATGAAAAAATCAAACTTATATCCAAAGCCGATGTAAAACATTTAAAAATCCATTGATTATCACTTCTGTGCTAAATTCGGATGCATTTCCCCAAAACTCAAATTTTAAAACCGCATACTAAAATATGTTTCTACAACGAAAGTCCACATACACTGTTTTTCGTATATTATAAACTAATATGTGTTCCAGTGTACACTAAATTAAACATTCTTACATCTGGGTTGTTTATTATTGTAAACCCTATCTACACCGGATGTTTGTGGAGAAAAACATGATTTATGATGCACTAATATTAATCCACACTAAGCATCTGCGTCACAAATTTTTTACCGCGTTTCCCTAGATTAAAACAAGTTATACTACGTCATTATTAATAGTTAACAGATAGTATGTTGAGCTTAATGTTGCAACTTATACTTTTAAGACGTATACAACGAACTACTTTAGTCTTTCTTGGATTTTCACAACACTTTTTGATACATAGATTGATTATATTAACTTTTCCTGAATCATATTAACGATAGTTTGGAGGTGATTAATATTGCGTTATTTAAGTATATATATATATATATATATATATATATATATATATATATATATATATATATATATATATATGTAATAGCCGCTGAACATATAGATTCGTTCAGTCATTTCTGTGTCGCGACAAGCAAGTGAAGGCGATGAACATAAATACCAATACGTAGACTTTTTAAGTTGTCGACATTAAGGAAAAAGCTTTGTTCGCTTACATATGTACACGTAAATCAACAAAGCCTTTCACTTATTTGGATGTTTTAATCATTCTAACAATACCATTATGGATATCACCTATAAAGAATATATATAAAGTATTACAACAAGAAGGTAACAATGAATACGTTTTTGTAAAAACTAACAGTGAAACTTATTCATTGCTTTGAAAGTTATCTAGTTTAAAATAATGATTGAAAGTTGATCAGTTAAACAGGTTAACGACTGAATACTAAGCAGCAACATTCAGCTATTTTATTTGATTCAAGACTTATTGAAGTTATGTAACTTAGGTAGTTTAGAAACTAAATGCAAACTATTCATAGATTGTGAGCAAAATGTTATACGGAGAACAAGATTACAAATAATCTATGGTAGGAAAAATCAAAAGCTCCATAATAACTGACTACTTAATTGATACATCAAATTACAACGTTATGTAATTAGTTCTGTTATGTCCGAACGATGAATAAATGGGTGGTAACTCTCAGGAATTATTTATAGGCTATTATTATATATATTCCTATCGCATATGTTATATCTGAACGAAGAATAAATAAATGATAATTGTTAGGAGTGATTACGGACTATTATTACATATATTCTTACTGGATATTCAAGTAACTAGACTATAAACATATCTTTGATCATAAGCTTTCACTTGACCTATCATGAGTGCTGTTAGAGGTATGAGGGCGGTTATCACTTCTCAGTTGCCCACACCACGGAAGGATGCTTCTGGAGGTATCTGAAAAGGAAATTGGTTTAGAGATGGTCTTAGTAACCTGAGAGCGTGGCCACAGGGCCCAAGAAACAACTGCCTGGGGTCAGTCACACACGACCTTTTTGTGAGTTTTCGTGTTAGCTCCGTACTTGTTGGGACCTTACCGCCGGAGATGTAATTCCATGGGATAAGACGAGATGTGCATTTTTAAGGTCGATCTTTCCTAACCCCACCCTTCCTTGTAAGAGAGCAGCATCGATGTTATTTTGGTTGTCCGAAGGAAACACCTTACTGCCATCACATCACTGTACAGTCAGCAGTACAACTTTTCCCTCGAACCTTGGGTTCGCTGCTTTTGGTTTTGCCGCTCTTCAACCGACCTGTCTGGTATGGTAGGGCTTTGAGGGACGATTGTTCAAGCCAGTATAGTTCCATTGGTTCATTACGATAGGCAAGCCTGTTGGGATATTCAGGAAAATATCCCAAAAATTATTCTATTAGGTCTAATGCTATTCTTGGACTTGAGATGGTGTCATTTTCTTATTGGTCAATATTTATTTCACGTGTCATTTCCCTACTGGTCAATATTGTACAATGTTATTTTCTATTTTGTGGTACGATATGGTCTGCTTGATTGGTATATAAACAGAGTATGTTTGAAATATAACGATTGATATCTCAGAGGCTGAGACTTGCGTTCTGGACTCAACTGGCTGGGCTAGACAGGGAAGCGGGACCAATCAGAAATCTAGGCCGTTCTTAGGCGTATACGCGTCTTTGGTCCGATCGATAATACGCTTCGCTCTAATCTTGCAGTCACAAGTTATAACAAAGCACCAACACCACGTCAAGGTAGCTGCAACGGTCATTTACTGTAATACTATTTACAACTCATAATTTATCCCCGGTTTATTAGCTATAGTCTCTCACACTTACAGTCACTTTTGACTTGATATTGTATAGTTATTATTCTCCATTTTATGTTATGATGCGATCTGGTCTGTTTGTATATGAACCACGTATGTCTGAAATATACGATTCACGTAGCGGTAGCTGGTATTTGTGTTCTGGACTGAACGGCTTGGGCTAGGCGGGAAGCTACGATACACAGAACCAATAAGGATACAGAGTTTACTCAAGGCCGCCAATGGTGTTTGACGTGTTATTTTGGTTTCGCACAGAAACAAGGTTATAGAAGTCGATATTCTAATTGGCAACTTTGTCCCGTGAAATTTCACGGGTCATGGGACATAAGAAATTCATTGCTCAATACAGATTTGTGTGATTTGTTTAGAGCTACACTTTGCATATAGGGGCTAGTGATACTACCCAGCTGATTAAATTGAAATGGGTGGAGCGAAATTTCAATCTGCAACTTAGTGGATGAAAGTTGAACGCCTTAATCACTGACCCACCATTTCACAGATTATATGAGTGTGAATATAATCCTAGTAAGCCAGTTTTTAAATATAAATAGTATAAATACAATAAATTCTTCACGTACTACTAAAACCAACCTCAACAATCAAAAGGAAAAGGTGAAGAAAAAAGGAGTGGTGATGATTTCATAAAGTTAGGCATTAACTGTCAAGCAACTAGTCTAGCAAATCTTTAGGTGTTCTCTTATTTTATTGTTTGAGATGGTTTGTAGGAGTGACGGTTTAGCGGTGAAATTATTCAATTTTCAATTGAAGTAAGTTCCAAATTCAAGCTACTTTCTATGTAATTTAGTTTGGATAGCCAAACATTGTAGTTAAATCTTATACAGTGAAAATGACTATCTGATGGTTACTGGTTAGTGTAGTCATCGTCATTATACCGTGTATCGCAGAACCTGACAAGTGGGAATATCGGTTAGAGTCGTCACACCAAATTAGGATAGAGAGGTAAAATCCAAGAGTATTAGGAGTAGTAACAGTATTAGAAGTTGTAAATAAACGGGAATAGTAAAATTGTATAAGATTTGGGGAATCAGGTTCCAGAAGAAGGAAAATAGTGAGAATGCACCTGTGCCGTTGCGAACGGTTTCGAGACATGCCACCCGAAGTCTAACCACTTGTTACGATAATCTTATAAGCTCAATACAGGTAGTCAGCATCTACCTATGTCTCAACACATTCGTTAATAATTATGGACTGGTGTCACGTATTGGTTTGGCCCCTTCTATTCTTTTAATCTACTCCCACACTAACCATCATTGTGCATCGAACATACATACATACATATTATAATTATCTCAGTCACTAAAGTTTCACTACCTCAGTCTATTTATCGTCTTTACCTTATACCCTACCCCTAATCCAGGCATTTCTTATTTAATTTTGCAAAATACTTACCAATAAGATTAATTTAATTTACTTATTTCTACAATATTTTCTGAATGAATGCCAATTTAAAAACATTGAAGCTAAATGAAACTTAAAACTGATCACTATTGATTCTTTTGATCTACTGATTTGACGAGAACTAGTCAGTCCCTATCGAAGTGATGTAGTACATGTATATGTTGACTCAAGTTCGCACATGTTGCACAAGAATCTCAAGAAAAATCAAAATGAGGAGGGGAATCCATTGCAATGAAAATGGTATATCGGTCAGGAAGTGCGTCTTAGTTTTATTGATATATGAATAGTCTATGAAGTACAGTATATTCTAATTGCCCATTTCAACTGACTTCCAAGCACGTCTGTTTCTATATCTAGTAATTTCTAGATAATAATATTGACCCATCATAAACAAAATTGCTTTTGCTAATTGATGGTCCTGTTTTAGATCATAGTTCATTTAGGCGTATTATTATCATTATTATTATTTAAACATAAACATTGGTACAAGGAGGCACCTAAAATATATGCACCACTCAAATCATTTGATTTGTGTGAGGGCTGGGATAGTGACGCTCAAACCGAAACAGGTATTTGCCCTAGAAGCCACTCCCCGAACCTTTGACTTAGAGGTCTAATCGACAAAGCAGTGGAGCAACGTTAGGAAGTGCAGTCCTATGGTAGCTGGTGACCAACAATAGGCTCACACACCTTATGTTCCTTCAGGATCCTGGAGTTCAAACGAATCATTGGTTTGGAATCACGGTTTCCCGATTCCCCTAAGTGGATCCTCTGTATCCAAAAACCCAGCTAAAGCGTCGGACATTCGCGCTTCGTCCTCTCGATTTCGCAAAAAACACCCCCGCTTCGAGATGGCAATGAGTAGGACTTCCCTGACAGTGGTTGTATGCACGTGACCATGTGAGGGCATTTCGAGAGGGAGAGCTGACTCTCCTCACTCTCGACCGTACGAGGGAATTCGAAGGCTTATTATTAAAAACATATTTAAGCGTTTGAGTGACTAGTTCGTTACTGTGAGTAGTTGTCACCCTGTCACACCGCATTACTACAATTTCGTATTGGCGAGTGTTGCATTTCTCCACTTAATGACCACCAAACACCCTGTACTACAGAACAAATTCTCTAGGCAGTTGTTAAAGTTATGAGATTCCGATTGTCAACGTGTTTACGAAAATAAATATCTTTTATTAGGATATAGTTCAAAAAGAAAGAATGACATTGGAGTATGAAAAATAAGAAATAACAAGTCAAAAGGGAAAACACCTCTTCCAGAGCAGTCAACTTCAAATAGTGTTACTTAGCGTCGCAGCAACTGCCTGAAAGTCTATGAATACAAGCACAGCTAGGTCAAAAGGCTTGCATTGTTATGGTTTAATTCCATGTCTTCAATGGTCACTGCCAACTTCCCCAAGTAAGCTTCCACCTCACCTTGCATTCCATATCGGGGTAGGCGGCGATTAGCCATGCGTAACTCATATCCGTGAAGATCGACGAGTGCGGCAACTCAAATGCCCATTGTCAAACTGGGTGCGAACTCAAACAGGTCCCTGAGACACAACACACAATTCTGTTATTAATTTATCAACAAATAACGCGCGGCTAACTATAAAACTCAATTAACCGTTCCGAAAATTCCAGCGACAACATATCCCATGTTACAATTTAATCGTGTTAAATTATATGGTGCGATGGTAGCTGGGCAACTTTGAAAGACTCGGATTCAATATGCAGAAAGATACATCGATTGCGACAAACATACAAGCTACGGTAACCATCTATGGAAAGTTGTACATCCCAAGTGAGGTGAGAAATCGATTTTAGTAAAATCCTAAGACTCATTAACCAGTGAATTTTATGAATAAATGCTTACAGATAAGAAACTCGAAGATAGATCTCAGAAAGCTCACTTAACTCTATGTAGTGATATGTCGAAAACCGGTTACAGACAACACACATCACGTGATGTGTGTAGCACTACTAAGTAAAAAATTACCAACTGATATACATGACCAGGAAACGAACAGTACTTTGACTAGAAGATTACAAAACTCTACAATTAATCAGGTTAGAAAACAAGCATCGTCGAGTACTAAATAAATAACACCCGAAGACTAAGACCAACCTTCATTCGTGAAGAGCAGGTCACACTATCTACATTCATAAACTCGCGAGACGCCTCAGGGACAATCTTCAACATTTCAATATTACAAAAATAAATTTCAAACTTGCCTGATCCAAATGAGCGAACGTTTTACCTTCAAAATACACCTAATTAGGATGAAAGCATTCTTTTCTACGAGAATTTATTATTTTTATAGTATTTTTAAGAAACCATAGGTAAACACGCGCGCCATTTAAAAGAACAGTTCAGAGTTTGACAACACCTTAACCAGTAACACTTTTTATAACCGACACGTGCCAACCCAGTCAAATCGGAAGAGCCATACGGTACAATATAGTACTTGAGGACTGGTACGATGAAAATTTCGATCCATCCTAAACTTCGTTAAGGGAGGCGCGTGTTTCAAGAAGGGCGGGGATTTTGTACTTGTTGTGATTATCCTTACTTTTTTGTAACTGTTGCATCAAAAGTATTCTTGGTCTATACCGAAGTACTTTAGTTAAGGTTTGAAATCTTTCTAAAGTTTGTCTTGTGGTACCCTTTTACTCGTTGACTGACACTTGTGTTCATATTGTGTTGTACACCTTAATCTGATTAAAATGGTTGGTAGTACTCACAAATTAGGACAACCAAACTGTTTGTTCCCTGTGGAGGAAGGAATGCAGTGTGATGAATGCAAAAAGTTGTTCCATAAGATGCGCACCCGTTTAACTCCCACCGCATACAAAAGATGTTCAAAGCCTAACTCACATTGGCTTTGCATGTTTTGCTGTGCAAATAAGACGTTACTAATACAGGAGGCTATGAGCCTATTGGCTTTGGCCTTTAGAAAGAACGATGACGCATGCGCTGACAGTGACGAATATGTCAGTGTAGTACCTGCTGTTACGAGACGCCTCAAACACCCGACTTTGACTGACGGAAAAGTGAAATCTCCGTTAACATTAACGAGCGAAGTAGTACCACCTGACACTGACATTGGTAACCATGCACCTATAGTGAAAACTGAAGATCTAGATAAAACTCTCACTGCCCCAAATAGTCCCAGTGTTCTGAGGGACGAAAAATGGACTACAATACGAATAAAACGAAACGAAAAGAAAAAAGCTGTGGGCAGTACGCAGATGGTTAGCAAGTCACTGGTGGACTCCCATTGTGAGCCACAAAACCCACTACCAAAATCTGATAGTAAGAGAGAAACCCACTCTGGCGTGACTGAAAAGAAGGATCTAATATCATCGAATATTATTGTGAGCAAATTGCGGGAGTCAAACGCACATGATTTAGAGAAGCTGGGAGAATATATTCGTAGTATCTTACCAGATAACTCTAAAGTTGTTCAGGTCAAAAAGCTGGTTAGAATAGGCAAGAGGACTGAGGACAATGTTGAACCCCGACCATGCAGACTCCTTAAGGTTAGACCTGATATGTCTCTCAGATAGTCAGGTTTTGGAAGCGAATGCTACCAAGGCCTGTGTGGATAGGCCGTTCTACCTAGGTTTTATATGCCAATGCTCGTAGTCTAAGAAATAATTTCTGTAGACAAGAAGCATTAGTAGACAGATTAAAGCCTCTCATTGTAGCAGTGACAGAAACTTGGTAAGTCCATGACTTAAATATTATTCCAGAATTGTCCGGATACCATTACCTAAGGAGTGGTAGACATAGATGTAGAAAAGGAGGTAGCGTCCTTTTATATATAGCCAATAGTATAAATATCCGCTCCTCTACTAGCGAATCCCATGAGAGCGGTACTTGTAATGTCATTAGCTGTGAACTGGCTATCGGATGTAGTACATTTATGCTCGGTGTCATCTATCGCAGCCCGATCTACTTAGCTGATGACTTTATTTTAAAGCACATTCATCTTTGGAGTGAAAATACCAGATGCTGGATAATAGGAGACTTTAATGCACCTGATATTAGTTGAACTGAGATGATCACGGAACGATCTATAAACTCCTTTGATAGTAGGTTCCTGGTAACAATAATGGAACATGCACTAGTGCAGCATGTATTCAAACCCACACGTTTTGGTGATAACCAAGGCTCTTCTCTATCGGAATTGGTAATCACTCATGATACTGAGGATATTGTCGACCTAAATATTCTTCCACTGTTAGTGAACAGCGATCACGCTGTTTTGCCATTCACGCTTGGAACTAGGGACATGTTATACGATCAGGTTACACTTCGCCCAAATGTATGGAAAGCTAACGTATCAGTCATTCAGGAATGCGCCACTAAGACAGATTGGTTTGTAGATACTAGCTTATCAGCTGAAGAAGAATGGTCTGTATTTAAAAGTAAGTTAACTTTAGTAACGTCCTCGTTCAAACCATACCTGGTACCGCGAAGACCGAATAACAGTCCGCCATGGGTAACTAAATCTGCTAGGAAACTTCTTAGAAAAAGGAAGAATCACTGGAATATGTTCATCTCTGCTGGCTTAGAACAATACAGATCCAGTTATTGTAAGATTAAGAACGCCTGTAAAGCGTTAATAAGTAAGGCTAGAAGATCATATGAAAAACGATTGGTTAGGGATTCTAGATATAGTCCGAAACGGTTATTCTTGTATATAAAAAGGTGAACTCAGAGAAGTGATGGAATTCCATCACTTTTGATACAAGAAAACCCGTTACTCTTGGCAGAAAATGATACCTAAAAAGCTGAGGTTTTATCGGAATATTTCAGCAAAGTGTTTTCTATCAGTAATGAGGAACGACTAACGATTCACTGTGATCGTGGCGGCCCGCTGATGGACCCTGTAGTCATTGAGAAAGGTACTGTTTTAAGGCTACTTCAGCATCTCAAACCTGATAAGTCCAGTCGTCTTGATGATATTCATCCTAGGATTATGAAACCCCTATCAGATGTAATTACTGAACCATTAGCGATACTGTTTGACATGTCTCTAAGGCAGTCCAGATTGCCCAGAGACTGGAAAGACGCCATAATAAGTCCGGTGTATAAGGCTGGGAGTAGGGATTTGGTTAGTGACTACAGACCTGTTAGCTTAACCAGTACAGTTGTAAAACTGATGGAAATAATCATTCGGATATCCGTTCTAAACTATGTTGAAGGGCATAATTTTTTCTCCAGGGCACAACATGGTTTTCGGAAAGGCCTATCTTGCTAGAGAAGATTGGACTGCTGCAGAAGATCGTAATGTTCTTGTGGATGTGATTTTCATGTATCTAAGTAAGGTCTTCGATAAGGTTTCCTACTCTGGTCTTAAATTAAAACTGGAACGTTTTGGAATCCATTATACGGTCGTGGATTGGATAAGTAACTTTCTGCATGACAGGAGACAAAGAGTAAGGGTTAATGGGGCTCTTTACCCGTCGGTACTTGTAAAAAGTGGAGTCCCCCAGAATACAATCCTCGGTCCTCTTCTCTTTTTTACTTTGTGTAAATGAATTACCAACTGTATCAAATCTTCCGTTCTACTCTCCGCTGATGGCATAAAAATTTGGAGACCCATACAAAGTATGTCGGATAGGATAGTATTACAGAATGATCTTAGCTCATTGGTGGCATGGTTGAACAGATGGTCACTAGAAGTAAATCCTAATAAAAGTGTGGTGATGCGATTCAATAACTACGATAAATCGTATCACTCGTGGACTCGTGCTACAGAAAGTGAGAAACTATAAAGATTTAGGAGTCATATTAAGCAGTGATCTCAAAACCACTAGTCACTGTAAGGCTGCTGCTGCGAAAAGCCATAGGATATTATGGTCTGTTCGTAGGTCTCTCCATTACTTAGATGATGAAGTGTTTAGATTATTATATTCGATTTATCTGCGGCCACATTTAGAATATGGGATTCAAGCAGCGAGTCCCTATATAAACCAAAAGACTAGGTCTAAACTGCGAAAACTGAAAAGGACGTACTATAAATCAAAAGACTTCAGTGCCCTGAACCAGATATACTCTGTACTTGAAGGAGTACAAAGTCAACAAAACAAGAATAAACAGGTAGAGGAACGTACTGCACTCGCTGCTGCATTTAAAGCTCAAGCTCTTTGTCGTCTCCCCACGAAACACATAAGGAAGAACGCAGACCACAACATTCACTCCTTACTGCACGATGGAGTGACATATGATGACCAAACGGTCAGATGTGAACGGTTTTCCCACAATGGGAATACATCTCATGCTCCAGATATCGACATTAAGTGCATCGGCAAAAGCTATCTTAGTACAATGGGTCAAGTTTTTTCTTACTAACAGATATCAAATAACCAAGATTAACTCTAAAACATCTACACCTCGATCAATAACCAGTGGTGTTGTGCAGGGTAGTGTCTTGGGTCCATTGCTCTTTATAATCTACATCAACAATATATGCAAGCGCTTTAGCACAGGTAAGACCTACCTCTATGCCGATGACTTAAAAGTCATCTATAAAACTGACATTTGCGATTCACGTAGTACTATGCAAACAATCCAACATGAACTCAACATGGTAGACGACTGGTGCAAACGCTGGAGGTTAGAGCTCAACATAGAGAAATGCGGCTGGTTATGTATATGAGACACGTCTCTTAAAATGAAACTAATACTTAGCAATCACAAACTGCCCATACTGGCATCAGTAACTGACCTAGGGGTACGTTACTCACACAGTCTTAATTTCTCTGAACACATCTCAGCCAAAGCATCCAAAATGCGGAAATTGCTTGGCTTCATTCGCCGTTATTTCTATCAAAATGAATCTAAAATCCTTCCTTATAAAGTTTGTGTAAGACCTATCATTGAATACTGCTCGTTCTTATTTTCCAACTTACGCCTATCTGATATACTAAAAGTGGAAGGAATACAACGAGACTTCACCCGCAAAGTACTTAAGACTGACTCAGTCATTGACTACAGTACCCGATGCCAAATCTTAGGAATAGCACCCCTTTGGGAGAGAAGGCTTAGGTCTAATTTGATTCTCTACTTTAAACTACTCAAAAACATTACTTATCTAACATATAAGATAGTTCTTGCTAGGGATTCACATGGATACGAACTTCGAAACAAGGTACCTACGGTGAAG